GAGTTCATGCTCTCCCCAATAAAATACTTACGTGCATCAAGTCTTATAAATATATGTTCATATATACCCAAAAGGTTCTCTGAAACGGTTCTAACGATTTTTATAAAATTTTGTATACAGATAATGTTTTGCACAGGGTCTGAAAATAACAGAATTTAATTTTTTTTACCAAAATTACTTTTAATGCCGAAATAAAAGTCCTTTCCTAATAATGAACGAACCGCTTATAAATATTAAAAAAGTTTGGTATGTTGAATGAAAGATGACTAAAATAGCGTTCAAGCTAAAATGCCTAAACGACGAAAGCCAACCATTGAAAAATATTTCAATAAAAATATTATTTAATTAACATAGAACAAAACTTGTGTCAAGTATATGAATTTCCTTTGTATTATATTATAAAAAAAAAATTTAAAAGAGGCGCAAACCTTCGGTCGTTATTTCTGTTTAAAAGCTATTTCCGTCCTCTTTCATTTGATAACATAATATATATTTAATTTGGATAAGGGGTTTGATTATTATACGGCAAGGACCTTTATTACGGACTTCAAAAATATTTGGCGAAATTTGGCTGTTAAAAAAAAATAACTGTTATTTTCGGTATCAGGTTTTGCATTTTAAAGTCATCTAAGTAGGTGTTACCCCCCAGCGAACACGTATAAGGTTGCCACCGATTCGAAATTTGTTACAAATTATAATATGGGTATCAAATGTAAGGTATTTTAAAAATACCCAATTAAAAAATATTTTTAATAAGGTTGCCACCTACTTTGAATCGCATATTCTTTTTTGTAGAAAGTACAGGTCCAATGTTACTATTCATGGGCGCCCAGAGAATGTTCTTAAACAATGCTTTCCCTTTACACTAAGTGTTATCCCTTAGGAAATTAGTTTAAGGTTGCCACTTATTTTCGGCTCTACAAAATTTATCTAAAACATCGCAATATGGATATCAAATGAAAGGTACTGGTGAGAACATTGGTCAAAAATTATTTTCGTCCAGAGTTGCCACGCATCTATGTAATGCAATGTTTTATTTTGTTAATTTCAATCAGCATTTTTTTTTGTAAGATATGTACTATTCTTTCCAGCGTATTTCAAAATATGGTTGCCACCTAAATTTTTAAGTAACAAATTTACTTTGTAGATATCAGAATCTAAATGTTTTTAAATTTATTTAAAGCTATCCATATGACCAGTATTTGATACCCAACATCATTGGAAGCGATTAGTTGAAAGGCCGTTCACACAAACTTTCATATAAAAGTTGCCTGTAAAATCGCCTCATGTAAACACCGTTTTAGCTTTAGATTCAACTGATTTAGTGGCAGAAAGGATTTCGGCCTTAAATATATCGCGGTATTCTAGAAAATTGCAGCCCTCTGTCATTCATTTTTAATAATAATTATAGAAATCGGTTAACGTGGTCCAAAGTTATGCGGTAACATACATAAAAAAAATCAAGAAATAAAAATATTCCGACGAACTGATAATCGTCTCCTTTTTGTGAGGTCGATTAACAATTAAAAATAAACATGATTTTTAAGAATTGCGCGGAGGAAGGATCGAGCCTGGGTGCTACTTGAATTAGTGTGGTGAATGCACAACCGCTGATGGTGCAGATGTCCAGCCTATTTTTGCATGTTCTCTGCATTCTACGTTAGCTTGAGAATTAACTCTAGGTCTTTATCTGGATCAACTGCCGTGAACTCCCGAGATAATTCCTAATCAACGAGTTGATCCGGATAAACGCTGCCGGCTGTCTACGGCATGTACCGCTACAATAACCTATCATATACCATTCATCTCCAATTAAATGTATGCCTAAACTTCTTAAATAAAATAAACTTTTTTAAGCCACTTATTCTTTGCATTTCTCTTTTATTTTAGCACCAACTGGCAAGCCAATACCCACCACCGCACACAACACCTCGTCCACGTCCGTGTACATATCGTGGAAAGCACCGCCGCCGGATACCATACTTGGAGAATTTCTTGGTTATCGGATAACGTATCGGCCGCGAGATCGAAATGATACCAAGGAGATTTACATACGCGACAGCACCGTTGAGGTAAGTGAAGAAGCAAAATAAATTTTAAGCAAAAATAAATATTAGGTACTTAAAAAATCATATTTTAGAAAGCAAAATTTGCAAGAGCAATAAGATAATCGCATCGGCTTAAATTTCGCAAAACTTAATGACGCGCAACATGCAACGCTGCTTTCACCTCACGAAATAGAACTATCACTCAACCGCTAAATGCCAGCCTTAGGTTATTGTCATTCGCATAAAACACACAGCTAACTAACCGCCATGTGTGGATGTACGATTATCGCTTGATGAATGTACATATTTACATACGAGTATGTACCTACGTATGCGTCAACACGTTTCATTGTAGTACGGCACATTTGTCTGCATTGTCTTTTGATCTACGCAAATCTATGCATGTAGTTAGGTATATCTTCACACACATCTCGCGCCACATTGCCTCGTTTATCACCTGTGCTTCTAACCCACGTCCGACAAAACGTATGTATGTACAATCAAGCTTCGCGCCGGATTGCTACAATGTCAGCCGTGAATGTCATTTATTTTCATCTGATTGCCATTGTTGGTGTTCCTGTACCCGAGCCCGACGGCGTTGGTGTCAGTTCGTGAACGTCTGACAGTTTGGCCGAACACAAACACAAGTATCTACATATGTATATACCCACTGGCAGAGATCATTTTCAGGCCTTTACTGAGTGTAAAATTCTCAGATTCGCCAGTCACACGGAAATCGACTATGCAACCATGAAACCCTACCCGCCAGGCAATCTAACAAAAACATGGAGATTTATACGTATGTACATATGCATATATCGCTCACATTCTATAAAGGCCTACTAGAATAGGTCTGCAGAAAGTGGTTCGGTTCTCAGCTAAGTTTTCAATACTTTAACCCTACCTTATCCTGATGAAATAACTTTAACTTAAGCCTGGGTTTCACTATGTCATATTTTGACACAACTTTATCTCCTTTTCCCAACCTTTTACCGATTAGATCGTGGCAAAAAATGGATAGATAGCCAATTCAGCAACACATGTAAACGACTGAAAACCCTGGTTCTGATCGAAATCAATCGATAAATCGTCTTTTAGTTCCATTGGCAGATGTGTTTTCACTCATTTGACGACAGATGCCATTGAAATTGGCATAGTTAAAATCAGCCTTTAGAAGTCTCCGAACGATTTTTGACATCGCCGCTATTAAGTGGTTCGATCGATGCGCCGGAGTAGCAGAAGATGGAATATATGAACCTCTTATACAGTTTTAACTAAAATATGCAAAGAACACATTTTCAGTGGCAAAATGAATCCACCCCCGAAACTATCACACTAACGATCTGCCAAGTAACACGATTTTTGAACGCCATTTCTGGCCAAACGATGGTAAAGTCAATTTGTAACTGTAAAATTCCAAAATGTTCAAGTTCTGCGCTAGTTTTAACAGAGCCCGTTTTACCGCAGGGTTCTCACTAACCCACACACACACATTTGCACACATTTACTGCCGTCCATACCCAGCGTTCTGAGCTACCATTTAACGCGGCCGGTTACTGTTGCTGCTGTTCCAGCCACAATTGTTGCTCGACCACCAACGAAAGGCCCAAAACTGTAGTTAGCCAAAAACGAAACTGTCACTTCCATTCTCTGCTGCCACCTGCCTCAAAGTTTTTGTTGTACTTATTTCGTACTTTCGCGCCCTACTCTAAATATAAAGCCATATCGCCCTTTTGCCCTGAAGCCCATAGCCTAAAAAGTTTTACTTATACAATTTCCGGTGTCGTTCGTTCGCCTATTCGCCAGCTCATGGACTGTATCTAAAAAGTTGTTGTGCGTGTTATTGTAATAGTTTTGTTGTAGCAATCTGAATTGTTCTCACACTTGTTGTTGTTTTTATTGTTGTAACAGCTATTGTTTTGTATTTCATTTTGTAGCAGCTCAACTAGCGCGATGGCTTTGTGAATTTCTACTTTTGTACAGTTGTTGCTATTTTTGCTGCATTTGACTGCCTGCCTTGCTTTGTTGTTTGGGTATTGAAAGCTGCTGTTTTTGCCATTTACGTTGACAACTTAGTTAAATGCCCTGCTAAGCGCCTAAAAATGGCTAAAAAGGCTCATGTTCCAAATATTAAATGGTAATTTACGCCTATCTCGTAAAATCGCTGGCAAATCCAATCGTAGTCGTTAGACACGCAACAAACAAAGAGCACAAAGGTAAAGGTGACAGAGCTACTAGACTATTTACGGATAGTGGCTGAAAAGAAAGAAATATTTTTAACTGACGTTTAAATTATTTAGCATTTTTATCTCTTTGTAAAATGCATAAAGGCGCTGGCCCAATGCAGGCTTGCTTTGCACGCCTTACTTACTTTAATTTGCTTTAATTTACTTCAAAAACTCGTTTGGCCAAATGGCGGCTTGGAACGCTGTCAAAGCTACCACCTGGGTAATTAAAAAACTAAGGTCTGTTCCCTTACACTAAGAATAATTTTCCCACAAAATTCCAGAAAACTAAAAAAAATACAAGCAATCTTTTCAGATTTATTTTTAAATTGATGCGAATTTGAATGCATTTCAAAGGAATGATAATAATTATACATATATAACTATAGGTACATTTATTAAAAACGAAAAAAAATCCAATTTTTCAAGAGACGACTGACCAGTAGTTTGACATCATAAATATCGCTAGCTAGCAAAATAAATTAAGGATTAAGGTACTTGTTTTATTTTTTCTCATTTATATTCAATGAAGGGCAAATTTTCTAAGTCCAGAAGAGGCCCCGAAAATCCGATAAGGCCGAAATAATACGAAATCTTTTAATAAAGATCGAATCCTTTTGATTCGTATGGAGTTTTGCTTTGCTGTTGTATTCAAAGTCCCTGTAAAATTTTTAAAAATGGACTTAACAACTTTTCAGCCAGCGATATGTTAAATATAAATATGGAAACATATAATCATTTTTATTAAACTTTGAATAATTTATATTATATATATTTTTTTTATTACGTAAGAAATTTTTTGTACATAAAAGTGTGCAGCAGTTTGTTTGAATTGATTTAGAACGGGAATATACCTTTTTGTCAAAAGCCTACGAAACGCTTTCAAATAAAACATTTGCCTATTTGAAACTTTGAGGTGCTTAAAGCAAGTGAAGCAAAGCTGCCATTTGGCCAGCCTTCATACATTTTAGTATATTCCAAATAATTCTCAAAGCGAGGCAAGCAAAGCAAGACTGCATTGGGCCAATACCTTAAGAATTATGTGAAGGCTTTAAAGTGAATGACTTCAATTCTGCGCCCATATAAGGAAGTCTGAAAATTCTTTCAGAAATTTTGAAGAGTTATATATGCACGTATGTGTTTTAAACTTATTCCTGTAAGAATTAGAACAACAGACTGGTAACCGGTTACTAATACATGCTTTAATTGTCTTTATTAGTTAGTACGAAAATTTTACGGTATTTATTTCGGTCAAAAATGCGCCGAGTGTTGGTTGCCAACTGGTGAGCCGTAGCTCGTTTATTAGCATAGGCCATTAACTTGACTTACCCCCACAAAAGGTGGTCTTAAACGGTGCTTAAGTTAGTTTAGTTTGATGTGTCAATCGGTCCGATGACTAACTCACATAGAACTTGCAGGTCCATTGTGATACCACTGTGAAACACGGGGAATCTCAGTGACTATTCTGCATAGAACCATTTGGAAGCTCGTATGAAGCGTATGATTGGTTTTATACCTACACCGGATAGTTCCGTTAGAGAGCTGAAAAAGTGCCTACCTAGAATAATCGCTCTGCTCTTAGCTAAAGCTAGGCAGCTGCTTAACAGTTTCTTCTTCTTCCTCATCTCTGCAACTTCTGCAATATTCATGCGAGTATATTCCTAATCTCGAAGCGTGCCTACCAAATAGCCCGCGACCGGTTACCCCAGCCATGACCATCGAAACGTCCAGAGGCGGAGCAGTTCTTCTGTTATTTTTTCCTATCAATTTGCGGCCATAGTAGCCTAGTTGTTGTATCCTTAATTTGCAGATTGTCATGGATACTCCAATCTAACCTCTGCTTTCACACAATGGAAGATTGGTACCTTTAACGGCTAACTCATCGGCTCTGCAATTTCCTTTAATATATCTATGTCCCGGTATCCATATGAGGCTGACCTTGTAGACGGTGTTAATATCAATTAGTGCTGCCAGGCATTCCTGTTCATCCTTTCATCTTAGCATTACCGCGATCATTGATTTTTGGCCTGGCAGTCCGAAAAGATATTAATCGTAGTCTTCGCAACAGCATGTGTATTAAGGTACACAGCCACCTCTTTTATAGCAAGAACTTCTGCCTGATAAACGCTGCAGTGGCCCGAAATTCGGGCGAATAATTCCGGTTCTAATTATTCAGAGAAAACATCGTAGCCAAACTTATTGTCTAGCTTGAATCCTATCGGTGTAAAACTTTATTTTCCCCTTCTACGCGGTCTTGGTGTTTGCTACTCTCTTCTTTACAGGATGTTCATCTTAAAGAGCCTGTCAAAGGTGGGCTTAGAGATACAGTAGTCGATTTCTGGGTTATAAGTAGCTTTAATCTCTCGCCATTCCCCTTCTTCTATGTGGCGCAGAAACGTGGACATGGACGAACAAACATGAGAAGACTTTAGATGCTTTCGAGAGAACTATTCGCGTGGGTGACGTGTACCGAAGAAGATGGAATGACGAACTGAATGGCATGGATATGTGAAATTTAACGACATGGATATAGTTAAGCGCATAAAAATACAAAGATTTCACTGAATTAGGCACTGAAGGAATCCCTCGACTCGGCATAAAATAAAAGAGCGCCCACGAACACAATGGAAGGACCAAGTACAAGAGATGACAAAGTCATTGTGCAGCGTATTTAAGATTTAAAGTGACGCTCTGTTTACTGAGAAAAACACGCAAATGCGATTAGAATTGCTGAAATATAATCCTTGATTAGTAACAGCTTTATGCACGTGGAAACTTCTGTTTAGAATTTTCTCTTAA